TCCCCATTAGGACAAGTAACTACCTGGTCGGGTGTAGGAGCGCCCACCAGGTTGGTCCCCATTAGGACAAGTAACTACCTGGTCGGGTGTAGGAGCGCCCACCAGGTTGGAACCTGCACAGGTCGATGGCCTTGTTCTATCGGTGGGGAGTGGCACTTGTTGGAAAATGAGTCCAATGTCCCTAACGATATAAGTTTATAAATATCATTGAGGCCATTGAGAAATACCATTGAGGCTCAGCCTTCCAAGCCATGAAGGGTATCTTCGCCTATTTGGCGCCATAAAAATATGACTCACTAGCCCAAGGAATTCTCAGTTGAGCACATATACCATTCCTATCATTTAATACTGAGACGCTTTAATGCTTCTGATAGTTGTCGAGAAAAAGGGTAATAATGCAAGCGGCACCTCATCACCAGAGACCAGGGACACTTCATCTCAGGGGGATCAAGGACCCATCAGCCAAGGCTCTAGCACAACCGCCTTCTTCTTGAATGTTAGCAGACGTACGTTGAGGCCCCATATTTTTATAAAATTACTTATGGCCGATTTTTTGTGTGTAGCTCGTTGTGTTTGCCTCCAACCCGCTCAGATCAAAGTCTGCACATTTGTCGGAATCATATCCATGATACTGAGGCTTAGTATAACTTATTCCTTAACAATCTGTCATCTTTTAGTTTCCAAATAACGTTCACAATAATAACACCCCTGCACGCGGCTGCCACATAGACCCAACCCTTGGCAGCCTCTTTTCCGTTCCCCCAAATCTCGTCCAAGATAAACTTATTGTCTCATTGGATGCCCTCAGCTACTTGCTTAGCCCACACCTTGGCTCATCATTACCAGATTCTCTTGGACTCCACACAACCCCACCACAGGTGGGTGGCAACAGAAAAAACAAAGTCAGCGAGATATGCGGGTTCGTAATTTATCATAATCGTTGATAAACAAGGAGCATGATTTTATGTGGTTACAAACAACTTATGGTGAGCTTAAATTATTGGGGGGATTTTTTAGATGTTTATCAACACGTTTCAACATGTTTCAACAGGTTTCAATTGATTTCAACACGCTTTCAGTTAATCTCAACTTTATGAGTGTTACACAATTGTGGGTCAAAAAAAAAAAAAAAAAAAAATCAACATATTACTATCTACTAGCCATACCCCTATGTATTGTATTCCCTCTCCCATCTTCCCTACCCTCTCTCTACCTTTTTTCTTACGTTGAGTGCAGGAATCTTGGACTAGTAAGTAGGTCTATATTCTCTGTGCTCAGACACATTCATTATATTTATAACTGTAGGCACCTACCGACCTATGTATCACCCCCCCCCTTTACTTTCCTACCCTCCCTCTACCCTTTTCCTCATGTTGAGTCCAACAATATTGGATGGGTCAGTAGGTTTATACACTTTGTGCTCAACCATGTTGACTACAAGAATAAATGTAGGCACCTATCGACCTGTGTTTCCCCCCCTTTCCCCCCTTCAATCTTTCCATACTCTCTTTCTACACCTTTCCTCACGTTGAGTTATGTAATATTAGACGGGGCAGTAGGCTCATAGAATTTGTGTTGAAACACATTGATTATAAGAATACATGTAGGCACCTATTGACCTTATTACTTTTACCATTTGTTGAGTGTAACTCTATATTCATGAATTGATTACGACGCTTTGCTTATAAAAGGAAAGAATAACTCTTACAGTACGTTAAAAGGAGGTTGAGCAGGATACCGCCTACTACCCCTTGTCATAGTTTAAGTTGTCCACGTTTTTTGAACATTGATCCTTCCAGCCCCTGCTTCCCCCCCCTCCCTCCGTCCGCGACACCGATCCCCCGATCACGTAGAGTTTAAACACATTTCATTTGTTTACTAGAACTGTAAGTTTTTTTGTCTCTAGTACTCTCTACAAAATGATTATAACTAAAAAATATGTGTTTCTTTAACACTTTAAATTAATGCATGTCAAACATTTATATACAGTGAACGTAAATGCATGATTAAATAATTCATTAAATTTTTTTTTCTCAACATGGATCCAACGCCAGAGCTAACAAAAATGTTTTTTACATTTGTGAAGAGAGATGTTTCTATACACATATTACGCAAACGATTAATCTATCATCACTTGGTCTCAAACTTTGTCCTTCAATTTCATGCCCTCTCCTTCCCTTTCGACTAACTATATTTCCTCAACTTAGGAATACCTTCGCTCGCATTCGAGTTCGGTTACACAAGATATTCACAGATAAAACATATAAATAAAATAGTTGTATTACCACTCTGCCACAAATGGTTGTGAGTTTGCCGTTTGTTCGAGATCTTCCATGTTTAGAAGGTTTTAACGTACTATAGAGAACTGGGTCGTTGCAAATCAAACTATTCTTTATTACTTTAACAAGTTTTTCAGCTCAGTTAGTTAGGCCATATAACTAAAGGCATATTTTTTTGTCCCTATTCTTTTCAACCTTTCATTTTTTCAAATGTCGAGATCGCAGAGCAAAACCCCTAGTGAAAAACGACCTCGCTCCATTACTCATCGAGTGTATAGACAAAAAAAAAAAAAAAAAAAACACAGTGTGTCTTCCTATGTTTTAGACAA